TCATGCTTCAATGACGTATTAAAGTATGTATTTCATTTGCCACTTGTGAGTAGTGGTTATACATATATCTATCTTACAAAATCTGCCTCACTGTGTACCAAAGGAAAAAAATGTGCAAATTCAGGAAAAGTACTGCAAACAGAAAAACATGCAGAGGCCTGTTCCACACAGGCGTCAACATCAGTTTAATGAGTTATATGAAGACATGTGATCTCTTCCAATTTGCATGGAAACAAAAGTATAACATGATGTAACCTTTTCATGAATTACATTTATTTATTTACTATATATATATACACACACATACTTTTAATTAAAATAGAAACAACCTTGTTTTGCATGTCAATCCTAGTACCCTCTCCCTCAGCTCCTCCCCTGCTGCCCACTAATCCATATCCCATCTACTTTCTGCTTTCCAGGAATGATGATGCCTTCCATGAAATCTTCAAAGTCTGTCACATCATTTGGGTCAAGGCCTAGGCCCTCCCTGGTGTGTTTAGGCTGAGAGAGTATCCCTCTATGTGGAAGGGGATCCCAAAATCCATTATTTTGCTAGGGATCAATATTGATCTACTACTCAAGGCCCTATAGATTGTCGAGGCCTGCTCACTTACACCAATGTTCAGCAGGTCTGGATCAGTCCTATGCTGGTTTCCCAGGTATCAGTCTGGGGTCCATGAGTTTCCCCGTGTTCCCGTCAGCTGTTTCTGTGGAACCAGCCTGGTCTTGACCCTTTTCTTCATCACTCACCCCTCTCTGCAACTGGCTTCCAGGAGTTTTTTCAGGGTTTAGCTGTTGGTGCTGCCTCTGCTTCCATTAGCTACTGGATGAAGGCTCTAGGATGGCATATAAGGTAGTCATCAATCTCATTATCAGGGAAGGGCCTATAAGGTAGTGCCACTATTGCTTAGTTAGTTAGTGTCATCCTTGTAGAGCTCTGGACATTTCCCTAGTGCCAGATTTCTCTTTAAACCTATAATGGCTCCCTCTATTGTGGTATATCTTTTCTTGCTCTCCTCTGTTCTTCACCTGACTCAACCAACCTGCTCCCTCATGTCCTCTTCTCCCCTTCTTCTTCTTCTTCTTCTTCTCCTAGTTCCATATCCCTTTCCCGATGCTCCAAATTAGCTCAGGAGATCTTGTCACTTTTCCCTTCTCCTAGGTACCATGTATGTCTCTCTTAGGGTCCTCTTTGTTTCCTAGATTCACTAACAGTGTGGATTGTGGGCTGGTAATTCTTTGCTGTATGTCTAGAATCCATATATTAATGAGTACATACCATGTTTGTCTTTTTGTGACTGGCTTACCTCCCTCAGGATGGTTTCTTTTAGTTCCATCCATTGTTTCCATTGTTTTTTCCTACTGAGAAATAGTACATTGTATAAACGTACCAGATTTTCTCTATCCACTCTTCATTTGAGGGGCATCTAGGTTTTCTTCCAGGTTCTGGGTATTGCAAACAATGCTGCTGTGAACATAGTTGAACAGATGTTCTTGTTTTATGAATGTGCATCTTTTGGGTATATGCCAGAGTAGAATTCCTGGATCTTGTGGTAGAATGATTCCCATTTTCCCGAAGAATCTCCATACTAATTTCCAAAGTGGTGGTACAAATTTGTACTCCCACCAGCAGTGGAGGAGTGTTCCCCTTTCTCCACATCCTATCCAGCATAAAACTTCTTTGGTGTTTTTTATTTTAGCTATTCTGACAGGAATAGTTGTTTTGATTTGCGTTTCCCTGATGGATAAGGACGGTTGAGTACTTTCTTAAGTGTCTCTCAGCCATTTTACACTCCTCTATTGACAATTCTTTATTGAGCTCTGTATCCCACCTTTTAATTGGATTATTTAGTGTTTTAGAGACTAGCTTCTTGAGTTCTTTGTAAATTTTGGAAAACTGGACTCTGTCAGATGTGGGGTAGGTGAATATCTTTTCCCATTCTGTGGGCTGCAGTTTTGTCTTGTTGACTATGTCCTTTGCCTTACAGAAGCTTCTCAGTTTCAGGAGGTCGCATTTATTAATTATCAATTTTAGTGTCTATGCTACTAGAGTTATGTTTAGGAAGTAGTCTCCTGTACCAATTCATTCAAGGGTGCCTCCCACTTTCTCTTCTAAGAGGTTCAGTGTGGCTGGATTTATGTTGAAGTCTTTGATCCATTTGGACTTAAGTTTTGTGCATGGCAGTAGATATGGTTTGATCCACATTGTTCTACATGCCAGCATCGAGTTATGCCAGCACTATTTTTTGAAGATGCTTTTTTTTCCCTGTTGTATATTTTTAGCTTCTTTGTCAAAAGTCAGGTGTTTGCAGATGTGTGGGTTAATATCAGTGTATTCAACTCGATTAGATTGGTCTGCCTGTCTATCTTTATTCAAATACCAAGCTGTTTTCAGGACTATAGCTGTATAATAGAGCGTGAAGTCAGGGATGGTGATTCCTCTAGAAGTTCCTTTATTGTACAGGGTTGTTTTTGCTATCCTGGGTCTTTTGTCTTTCCATATGAATTTGATTATTGTTCTTTTATGGTCTGTGAAGAATTGTGCCAGTATTTGATGAGGATTGTGTTGAATCTATAGATTGCTTTTGGCAAGACTGCCATTATTACTATTTTGACCCTCCCTATCCAAGAGCATGGGAGATCTTTCCATTTTCTGGTATCTTCTTTAATTTCTTTCTTTAAAGACTCAAAGTTCTTGCTATACAGGTCTTTCACTTGTTTAGTATTTTATATTGTTTGTGGCTATTGTAAAGGGTGATGTTTCTCTGATTTCTTTCTCAGTCCTTTTGTCATCTGCATATACCAGGATTACTGATTTTTTTGAGTTAATTTTGTATTCTGCCACATTACTGAAGATGTTTGTCAGCCGAAGGAGTTTCCTAGTAAAGATTTTAGGGTCTCTTATGTAAACTAGCATATCATCAGCAAATAGTGAAAGTTCAACTACTTCCTTTCCAATTTGTATCTCCATGATCTCCTTTTGTTGTCTTACTGCTCTAGCTAAAACTTCAAGTACAATATTGAAGAGATATGGAGAAAGTAGACAGGCTTGTCTTGTTCCTGATTTGAGAGTAATCACGTTGAGTTTCTTTCCATTTAGTTTGATGTTCTCATTCCTTTACTCTGAGGTAAAGTCTGTCTTTGACGATGATATGCATTTTTGTATGCAGCCGAAGGATGGATTCTGCCCTTTTTATCCATTCTGTTAGCCGGTGTTTTTTGTATAGGCAAGTTATGACCATTGAAATTGAGGGATATTAATGTCTATTGTTAATTCTTGTTTGTTTTGGGTTTGTTGTTCATGGTATTATTGTGTGTGAATTTTCCCCATGTTTTTTTCTTTTGGTGTTTGGTATTGTGGGATTATCTATTGCCTATGTTTTTGGGAGTGTAGTTGTCTTCCTTGGGTTGGAGTTTTCCTTCCAGTACTTCCTGTAGGGCTCAATTTGTGGGTATGATTGTTTAAATATGGTTTTGTAATGGAATATCTTGTTTTCACCATCTATAGTTATTGAAAGCTTCACTGGATATAGTCTTTTGGGCTGGCATCAACCTTCCTTTAGCATTTGTAGGACATCTATCAAGGACCTTCTTGCTTTCAGAGTTTCCATAGATAAGTCAGATGTAATTCTAGTAGGTCTGCCTTTGTATGTTACTTGGTCTTTTTCCTTTTCTTCTCTTAATATTTTTTCTTTATTCTGCAAGTTTGGTGTTTTCATTATTATGTGGCAATGGGACTTCTCTATGTGGTCTAGTCTATTTGGTGTTTTGTAAAATTTTTGTATTTTCATAGTCATATCAGTCTTTATGCTGGGATAATTTTTCCTATTATTTTGTTTAATATGTTTTCTGTACTCTTGAGCTGGATTTCTTCTTCGCTTTCTTCTATACTTATTATTCTTAGGTTTTGCCTTTTCAAGGTGTCTCATATTTCCTGCATGTTCTGTGTTAGGGATTTGTTGGACATCTGATTTTATTTGGTTGATTACTGTTTTTCCTTTAGAGAGTCTTCAACACCTGAGATTTTCTCCTCCATCTCTTATATTCTATTGGTTATGTTCACATCTATAGTTCCTGATCATTCAACCTGTTCTTCTCCTTCCAAAATTCCCTCAGTTTGTGTTTTCTGTATTGTCTGTATTTCAGGTTTCAGATATTGAACTGTTTGAATTGTTTACTTCATCTGTTTGATTGACTTCTTCTTGGCTTTCCTTGTTTTCTTTAAGAGATTTGTTGATTTCTTACATTTTTGTTTTGTTTTTTTCTTCCATTTCTTTAAGGGATTTTTCTCATATCCTCTTTGTAAGTTTTTGAGTTCCAAGTAGTCATCCCTAAATACTCACATATGAACAATGGGCTCAGTAGGCTAAATCTATATTTATGTATGCTTGTACGGATGTATTTATGTATGTTGTATATATAGCAGTAATTAAAACAGAGGCCAAGAATTTGAGAAGGGAACTTGGAGAGAGGAGAATGATGGGTAGAAATGATATAAATACACTACTTACATTTGAAATTATAAAAAAAACCTAAATTTGAAATTTAGCAAAGAATTATAGGAAAGTAATGAATGCCAAGAGAGGAGGAATTAGTCTCTCCCAGTGATGAGCCATCAAATTGGTCATCCAACACTAAGTGGCCAGCTCTGAAATCACATACGTGCAAGAAAACTGGATTCAGCAGGTTGTGCTGTTGTATATGTGTATAGTTACATTTATATGGGAAGAGAAATATTTTTGTAATTTAATAAGTGTTAACAATAACGGTATTACTTTTGCATATTTCCAGGTTTATTTTTTTAAAAATGATTTAGTTAGCATGCAAACTTTCTGATATAGAGGTGCATGTAATTAATATGCAGTTGTTAATTTTCCCTAAAATTAAATTACTTAAGTACCTCTAAAAAAGACGTTTTGTTTATAAAGAATGTAGATTTAACACTGGTGAATTATTCAAATTATATTTAAAATTTCATTCTCATTTATAAACATGTTTTATAAGATTATTTATTAAGGCAGTTTATAGGAATTTTTCAGAGAAAAACTAGGAAGAGTAGAATAAATAACAGTTTGGAAGTGGAGAGATTAAAGTTTAGCTGGTACACTTTAATCGAAGAAACACTGGGAACAAGATTCTGTAGTCCTGACTTCAGAGGGAACTAATTAAAATGGCTAGATTCTGGCAGGCATGGGCATTTCTTCTCCTATACACATATCCTTGTCTTTGTTTTCTATCATTAAGTTAATATTGATCATAAAATTATACTTATGCAGAACTTGTTTGACTTTCTACATACGATAGATTTCCCCTTGAGATAAAATTCATTAACACCCAAATGCAGAAATATTTGCAACACCCTCTCATTTAAATCTTGAATTCCACTTTCTTTATTATTCATGTTTTTTAAAGTTTTGATAGAAACATATAAAATATCAATTTCTTCTTTGCATCTATTGAGCAAAAGATTTGGCTTCAGTACGCAGAAGTTGCTTCATAATCTTGAGCTCCACTTTCCTTTTGACAGAGCTTTGAAAACTTCTGTGTTAATTATGCTCCCTCTCAGTGGACTCAGGGAAGTAGCATGTCAGGTATGTATTGAAGTCCTTGACTTAAAGATGTTCAGGAGAGTGAACCAGCAGGTGACTCTTGCACAGTCAGGGGAAGATGATTTCCTGCTTTCTGAAGGCCTTTTAAAGGCCAAAACCCTGCACTTCTGTTGAGTGTGTCTGTGCTCTAAGTAGTCCTGTAAATACCTCTCTTAGTAAAGTGTATTGTGTTTAGAGAAACATTTCTAAACACTTTGAGAGTCTCTAAGGGCTTTAGATTTACTCTGCAGATGTAACCTCTCATACAGCCCTCGGCAGAAGAATCATGTGTAAGGCAACAGCAGGCATAGAATTTGTTCTTGTTCTTAATCTTCATATAAAAATATACATTTTTACTGTGATTTAAATAGCTTTAAATAAGTACTTAAGAATAAGAAATAGGATGTGATAGAGACCATCATTTTAGTTTCTGAGTTTGCTCAACTGGGAATTTTACTTTGAGAATGTTAGTTCTTCCTGGTTGGACATTTTCATATCTGCTCTGTGAACAGAAATTTAACCAAACTCATCTTTAACTTCTTCCATTCACAGGGAAAACATTGTGGTGTCGTGTCTTGTTAGGTTATTCCTAATCACACTTATTTCTCTTCATTTACTAAGGGAATCACAGTACTTCTTGTATATACAATACTATTTTATTATAACCATTGTGACAGGAGTGAATATGTTCTAAAGAGATGCTTATGCATCTCCATATGGCTATCATAATATTGAAATGATACATCCCAAGAAATTGGAATATCCCCCAGGAGCATCACGCTTTAAACACAGGTGAGTTTGTCTCCTGAAACTGTTTTTACTTTGTTCTGGTAATTATCAGATCAACTTAGAGGAGAAAAAATGATGACAGGTGGGAGCATAACTTGATTGGAACTGCTTATCCAGATATCCATCTCTTGCCCTCTGTTTAATCATAAACTTCCTATCAGGATCAGGAAGATATACTTGGGAAAATGTATTTTCCTCCTCTTCTCAATATGTGCACGTTGAAAGTATCTTCTTTTTCATCTTTCATCATGAATTTTGTCTGTTAAAAGGACTACAGAGGTCAGGTAGTGAACCTGGCATGCTTGTGAGTTTACAGGGCCGAAGCATGAACAGTATATGCAGTAATGTTGCCATTTTATTTTTAAATAATTTGAAGTAAACCAATAATGTCAAGAGTGACACAGAAGCAAACTCATAGAGCATCTAGTGTGACTCACATGACACTTCTAGATCATAAAGGTGCCAGTACTAAACACATTGCCTCTCAAAAAGGTAGCAAGCAGTTACTGTCACAGTTGAAAAACAGCTAGTAGCACTGATGGTTAAAATAAACAAGAAAACAAGCATAAAGGACAGGAGAGAGTTGGGTCACTGCCCAGCACTGTGGTTGAGTCTAAGGTCTTTAACAAGTTGCTAAGGTTCAAGTGTATTATATAGGGGCACAAGTGTGTGAACAATGCCAATAAAACGAGCCTTCTAGCCTAAAAAAGCATAGGAGAGTTTATTCTGGAGGCAATTATGAATGTCTGTGGCATGGGAACATAGATTCGGGATGCCTCAACTATCATGTCAGAATGTTGTTATGGTTTCATGATAAATATTTTTAGTAAGAGAAAGAAGACATTCATAAACCAAAGAACTTTTTCAATACATTTGTGGGAACATGATAAGACATTTTAATGCAAGGCAGGACACATCTGCTGTGGCCTTAGGTGCTGTCTGAGAACACGCTTAGATTTTCTGTTAGTAGAAGCTTGGCTTCGGTCTGTACATTCCCAAAGGATTTTTCCTGATAACCACACAGGCATCAGATCACACTCAGAGGCAGGCAATAAATGGCACCTTAGGTTGTGATGTTACACACCTTTAATCCCAGCATTTAGGAGGCAAAGATATGCTGATCTCTGTGAATTTGAGGCCAGCCTGGTCTACATAGTGAGTACCAGGACAGCCAGCGTGTCACAGAGAAACTCTGTCTAGGAAAAAATAAACGAGCTAAGGTAGCCCAACTAAATTTTTCTGCCAACATGTAACATTCCAGTTTTCCATAGTCTGTCAATCAATCTTGAGTGTTCAACACATAATTAACATTTTCTTATCTGTGAACTCCAGTTCACAAATTCTTTGATAGCATAAACAAAAGCCTGATTTGAAAATGATGGGCATCAGTTTAGGGACATAAATGAGGTATAGGGCTTTCTCTTTGGAAATATTGGGATCTAGAAATATTTATGGTTCTCTGGGTGGCATTCAATAAGATGGCTTTGAAGCACATCTTCCTGAATTCCTGAAGCTTGGGAATCTAGAAATGCTTCCCTAATAGAAGCCAGCATGACATCTGAAATAGAAAACATTTCAGTCATCCCTTCCCTCATTATATCCCCAGAAAACAGACATCAACTACTGGGTTCTGCTCAGGAGCTAGGTTGAGATACAAGGTTGCATAGAGTAGTCAGGAGTATACCTTGAAGGGCAACAGAAGAAATGTGTTCAACAATAGCTGGACTCAGTGGATGAGTGTAAGACTGTGAGCAACCAAAAGAATGTTATTAGTCTATGGGTGCCCATAAGAGTCAAAAGTGGCCACAATCCACTGGGTTTTATGCCTTTTTTTCTGGGGTAAGAGTTTAAAATTTCTGACAAAAAATCTACAGAATAAAAGTAAATTATTCCTTGTATGCTTTCAGTATCTTGGATGCCCAGCCACCAATGAGTCAATCCATGTCTTATTGCCTTGGCTGACTCTGAAGACATGAAAAGAACCTGGTGAGGTGGTACACACTTTCCAGAGAACTATGAGACTGAAGCAAAAACTAAAATGATGAAGAAATAGAAACCAAGATAAAAAACACCAAACACAAAACAATAACAAAAATAAACAATAACAAATGATAGAGAGAGAGGAGAAGACAGCTGACTCAACCATGGGTTTATCTTGTGAGTATATCATGAATAAGTATAACTTGTGAGAACGGAATGCTGCATAGAAGACATTCTTCACACATTTTGCAAATAGAATGCCTTTCCTTTAGGTTCAGGAACGCTGAGTTGCTTTATTGAAGCCGAAGCACAATCTCTAGTGTTCAGCATGACTCAAGGTCACAGACTAAAGCTGCAGGCTTAGATCTAGTGGCATTGTGGGGACTCATGGAACTTAAGCCCTATTATGTAACAGTGGTTATTCTATAGGCATCAGACTTAAGCGTTATGAGAAAGGCAGACAGGCCTGCCCTGTATAAGAAAGGAAAGTGAACTTGAGCCTGGAATAGCCAGTAAGCAGAGTTGCTCTGTGGCATCTCCATAAGTTGCTGCTAGAATCCCTGCAATGATAGAGACAGTTTTTCTTCAGTGATGAATCTGGATGTGTAAGTAGCATAAACACCTTCATCCCCTAAGTTACTCTGAGTCATTGCATTTCACCATAGCTACAGAAAAGGAAGTAATACAGAAGAATGTTTCAAGATGTTAGAGTGGGCAAGAATTTTTAATATATTAACTAAAAACAGGTAATTTAATTACATTTGATGAAATAAACCTCCCCATAGCAAAATAACTTGTCAGCCATACAAACAAAAATGTCCGGGAGGAAAATTTTTACCAGCTCTACATCTGACAAGAAGTTGTTATCCAAGGTAACTCAGTCCCATAGAAAATCCCCAAATAACCCAGGTAAAATGAGCAATGCAGAACAGTCAAATTCTCAAAAGATGCCATACAAGTGCTCAACAAAAATATACAACAGTTTTTAAAATAACAATTCAATAAAATCAAAACCAAAACAGCATTGGTCTGTTAGAGTGGCTATCAAAAACGTATATAAAGAAATTATGTACACCCCATTGATGAAAACCATATGGAGTGTCTTTAGAATTTTTAATTAAAATTTCATTGGTTGGAAGCATAACCTTTATCCAAAATTTGTCTTGCACTAGACCATGATTTCTTATGCTCTGTGTATTTCAGTATTTTATTTCTGTGTAAGTTATTAGTATATTCAACTATGAGAAAATTCCTATTCAAGCTGATGCATTTACCTCTGGGTGAATGTTTTGATTTTTCCCAGTTTATAACTACTATAAAAGAAGGAAATGCTGTATCATACTATACAAAAATCTTATTTTTTAAGCAAATAACTCAAAATGGAAAGGTTAGAATATTGGTCATATAAAGCACAGATATTCAAGGGTACTTCCCACTGTCTTCTCAAAGAGATTCAGTGTGGCTGGATTGATATTGAGGTCTTTGATCCATTTGGACTTAAGTTTTGTGCATGGAGATAGACATGGATATATCAGTTGTCTTTTACATGCCAGCATCTAGTTACTCAAGCACCATTTGTTGAAGATGCTTTCTTTTTTCCATTGTATAGTTTTAGCTTTTTTGTCAAAGATCATGTGTTCAAAGGTGTGTGGGTTGATACCAGGGTCTTTGATTCAATTTCTTTGGTCTACCTGTCTGTTTTTGTGCCAATACAAGCTGTTTTCAGGACTATAACTTGATAATAGAGCTTGCAATCAGGGATGGTGATGCCTCTGGAAGTTCCTTTATTGTAAGGGCTTGCCTTGGCTATCCTGGGTCTTTTGATTTTCCATAGAAAGTTGAGGATTGTCCTTTCAAGGACTGTGAAAATTTGTGCTGGTATTTTGATAGGGATTGCATTGAATCTGTAGATTGCTTTTTGGTAAGATTGCCATTTTTACTATGTTGATCCTACCTATCCAAAAGCATGAGAGATCTTTCCATTTTCTGGTATCTTCTTTAATTTCTTTCTTTAAAGACTCAAAGTTCTTGTTATACAGGACTTTCACCTGTTTGGTTAGAGTTACTCCCAAGATATTTTTTGGTGTTTGTGGCTATTGTAAAGGGTGATGTTTCTCTTATTTCTTTCTCATGCCCTTTATTGTCTATATATAGTAGGGCTACTGTTTGTTTTAGTCAATTTTGTATCCTGCCAATTTGCTGAAGGTGTATATCACTGTAGGAGTTTCCTGGTAGAATTCTTTGGGTTGTTTACGTAGATTATCATATCATCTGCAAATAGTGAAAGTTTGACTTCTTCCTTTCCAATTTGTATCCCCTTGATCTCCTTTTGTTGTCTTATTGCTATAGCTAGAACTTCAATATTGAAGAGATAGGGAGAGAGTGAACATCCTTGTCTTGTTCCTGATTTTAGAGGAATCCCCTTTAGTTTCTCTCCATTTTGTTTGATGCTGGCTGTTTGTTTGCTATTACTTTTATTATGTTTAGGTGTGTTCCTGTTATCCCTGATCTCTCCAAGACCTTTTTCATAAAGGGTGTTGGATTTTGTCAAAGGCTTTTCCAGCATCTAGTGAGATGATCATGTGATTTTTTTCTTTTTCAGATTTTTTATAGGTTGATTACATTGATGGCTTTTCATATGTTGAACCATCCCTGAATCCCTGGGATGAAGCCTGCTTGGTCAGGTTAAATGATTTTTCTGATGTGTTCATGGATTCAATTTGCCAGTATTTTATTGAGTATTTTGCACCAATATTCATGAGGGAGATTCATCTATAATTTCCTATCTTGGTTGTGTCTTTGTGTGGTTTGGGTACTAATGTAATTGTAGCCTCATAAAAAGGATTTCTCAGTGAATCTTCTGCTTCTATTGTGTGGAACAATTTGAAGAGTATTGGTATTAGCTCTTCCTTGAATTCTTGGTAGAATTCTGCACTGAAACCATCTGGCCCTGGAATTTGTTTGATTGGAAGATTTTTAAGGCTGCTTCTATTTCTTTAGGGGTTATAGATCAGTTTAAATTGTTTATCTCTTCCTGATTTAACCACCTCCTGAACATAACACCAGTAGCACAGATACTGAGTTGGACAATTAATAAATGGGACCTCCTGAAACTGAGGAGCTTCTGCAGGGCAAAGGACACAGTCAATAAGATAAAACGACAGTCCACAGAATGGGAAAAGATATTCACCAACCCCACATCTGACAGGAGGCTGATCTCCAAAATTTACAAAGAACTCAAGAAGCAAGTCTCCAGAACACCAAAGGATCCAAATAAAAAGTGGGGTACAGAACTAAATAGAGAATTCTCAATGGAGGAGTCCAAAATGGCAAAAGACACTTGAGAAAGTGTTCAACATCCTTAGGCATTACGGAAATGCAAATCAAAACAACTCTGAGATACCATCTCACTCCTGTCAGAATGGCTAAAATCAAAAACACTAATGACTGTTTATGCTAGAGAGGATGTGGAGAAAGGAGAACACTCCTCCACTGTTGGTGGGAATGCCATCTTGTGCAGCCACTTTGGAGATCAGTATGGAGATTCCTCAGGAAAATGGGAATCAGTCTACCACAAGATCCAGCAATTCCACTCTTAGGCATATACCCATAGGATGTGCCCTCATACAATAAGGACATCTGCTCAACTATGTGCATAGCAGCATTGTTTGCAATAGCCAGAACCTGCAAAGAATCTAGATGCCCATCTCCTGAAGAGTTGATAGAGAAAATGTGGTAAATTGTAACAATGAAGTACTACTAAGCAAGAAAAAATGCAATCTTAAATTTGCAGGCAAATGAATGGCACTAGAAGAAACCACCCTGAGTGAGGTAACCAAGTAACAGAAATACAAGTATGGTATATACTCACTAATATATTGATTTTAGACATGGAGGAGGCCATTGTGAGGCCACAATCCCACAGCTAGAGAGTGTACAGGGAGGACCCTAAGAGAGATATGCATGGTAACCCAGAGAAGGGTTATGGGATGTGATCTCCTAATTGGGTTGAGGGGGGAAAAGGAGAGAGCAGAAGGAAATGAAAGAAAGAGATGGAGAAAAGAGGAGGGGAGAGGAGGACATGGGAGAGCAGGAAGGCTGAGCCAGTGTAAGCATAGAGGAGAAAAGGATGGGAGATACCATAAAAGAGGGAGCCAGTACAAGTTGTAGGAGAGATCTGGCACTAGTGAGATCTTCATAGATCTACACGAATGACACCAACTGGCATTAAGGCTACCCTAAATGCCCTCCCATGATAAATGAGAATGATGACTAGCTTATATGCCATCCTAGAACTCTCAACAAATGGCTGATGGAGGCAGAGACAGACACCCACTGCTGTGAACCGAATTGAACTCCTGGAACTCTGTTGCAAAGAGGAGTGATGAGCAAAGGAATCAAGATCAGGCTGGTGAAACCCACAGAGGCAGCTGACCTAAACAAGGGGGAACACATGGACCCCAGATTGATGACTGAGGGGCCAGCATGGGACTGATCCAGACATCCCTCCCACCGAACCTGAGTGACAGAAAGGAGGTCCTGGCAATCTGTGGTGAGTAGAGCAGTATACACATGGACTCTGGGAGCCCATTCCACATGGAGAAATGGTCTCTCAGCCTAGACACATGGGGAAGGGCCTAGGACCTGCCCTGGATGAAATGAGAGACTCTGGAGATCCCCGCAAGGAGGGCCTTACCCTCCCTGGGGAATGATGTGAGGATTGGGTGGGGGACTGGGGGGAGTTGGTGGAGGGACAAGGAAGGAGGGGTGGGAGAGGGAGCTGGGATTGACGTGTGAAACATTCATGATTCTTATTTAAATAAAAATATATCGAGAAAAAACTGTAAAAAATACCACAAATGTTTAAGAACATAGGTTTGTCTTCATATGTATGATGTATGATAAGCCAATGTGATAGTTTTTTATTTGCTATATAGTTGATGCTCCCAGTCAGGAATTTTAATTTGAGTTCTCCTATGAACTATTTGTTGTGACATTACTATACTCTATAGTCTCATTATACATTGTATTTTGTGCACTTATGATCTGGTTCATTCTTGCAATATATTTCATAGATGAAGATATAAATATATAGATTAGATTATCTAGCATGTGATACCCATGCCAGACGTATTTTGGGAATATTTGATTATACATTATATTGCCTCTTTGGTTTCCTTTTATTGTTTTTTTCAAAATCATTTTATATTCTGTTAATATAATTCTATCTTCTTTCTGTTAATGATTTCATGATATTCCATTTTTGAAATATTTACTTTTACCAGTTTCAAGTACATTTATTTTTTCTGTTTTATTCATTTATTTATATTATTTATTACTCTTAAAAGATTCAGTGGCTTTCTGTGGATGAGTCCTTACTTTTAATTCTACTTAATTTTGCTAGACTATTTTAAAACATCATATATTCTGTATTTAAAATTTGATTAGTATTATTTTATCATACTTATATTATTAGCATGAAGGTACAATTGTACTCTTATGAATATTGTGTTTCTATTTGTATGTTTGTACATGAATGTAAGCATATGTGTGTACATGAAAGTCAGGAGACAATTTTGTGGATTCAATCTTATCTTTGTGCTTTTACATTGATTCTTGGCATTAAACACAAGTCCCCAGGTTGGGAAGCAAGTGTCTTTACCTGCTGAGCCTTCTCATCAGCCCTCAATTCAATTCTTATCCTGAGCATACTTTTGATGTTTCCCAAATGTAATTTTATCAGCACATGACGATTACACAAGCCAGGGAGCCTCATTATTCTTTAAAAATGGTTTGTTGTTCCAAAAAGATGAAATTAGATCAACTCAATTTTAAGCTATTATAAATTGTGTGTAGGATATAAAGACATTAATGATGAAATTATTACTACCTGTAAGTGGTGATAAACTATTAGGATGACCACTGGTGCAAGCCATGAAATGTTTTAGTCGGCATTTCCCTTTGCATGGCCTGTAGCATCTTGTCAGTGTGCCTCCTATCACCCTCAGAATACAGGCAGGAAGTGTGTCAACATTTTGCCGTACAGTGTAGATGGAGTTTTAAAAGGCAGATATAAACCTTCTCAGAGTGTGAGCCGCAAGAGACAGCACAGGTGACTTAGAAGTCCCTAGAGGTGTAAAGAAATCAGAGTAAAGAATGTAACCCACTGAGTTATGGAGCTGGACCCCTGCCCTCTGTAGCCCCCTTCTCCACTGTGCCCATCGGCCGGCACTCTGTTCCTATGCTCCTGGCTCTACTTTAGTTGGCTGCTTACATTTGAGCAAACTTATTGCAACAACTGTACTAACAGTTCTCTTGCTGGTACTGCCTATACACGTCAGGCCTACAGTAAATCTGGCTCAGCTGTTCACTTTTTGGTAAATTCTTGTTAGTCCTTCATTTATCAATTCTTCTCAAAGTGAAACAGCAGGATATAGTAAAAATAAATAGAGACAAGACATGATTTATATGATTTTCATGCTCTTTACTTACAGTACCACATATTCCCACTTTTTTCTGAGCTTATTTTTGTGGGGGGCAGACAAAACAATCTGTTGAGTTTCACATAGTTTAAAATGACATATCACAGAGCAAACGTGTCTACAATGGGTCCACAGTGGAAACCCTGCTCCACAACTGGGTAAAATCAGAGCTGTATCTAGCATTAGTTGGAGCTGAGGAGGTGAAGTGAGGTCTGGGAGCTTCCCATGGGGATGGAAGCAGAGGCTTAAATCCTCCTGATTAGCTCTGTGAAATGGGGACTTGCCTGAGCTCAGTTGACCAGTTTCCCAAGCTAGGTCTCTCTGCTTTCCTCCTCACCCGAGTCTTTCTCTTCGTAGAGAATTGAACGTGGCTTATGAAGTTCTTTCAAATGAATCCATCAGTGAGTAATATCTTCACATTCCTGTTTCTGTCTGGCATGCATGACTTCCTTGTGCCTGTAATTCAGTCTCTGCTGGAAAGGCTTTGTCTAGCCACCACCATTGCTTTTGTTTGCTTTGTGGCAAGTGAGAACTGTAGCGTTATTTCTCACAGAAGATACTAATCAATGATTGATCAAAGCTGGATGATAATATTTCATCCCACTCTCTGCAAATGTGGAGTGACTAGAAGATACATATTAAACATTTGCTACCAAAAAAGCAGCATTGCCTATGCTTTAAATATAATTAGCGAGGAGATGTAGTTGACGGTGCATGTCTATAAGAGCTGCACCTAAACAGCTAGAAGGTGCTGATGAAGATGGATCTCTGACAACAATTTGAGACCCTCAGATCCAGTTCATATAAATGTGCTCTTTAGTTCTTTTCATTGTTAATACACAGCATTCTTTGTGTTCGAGTTTATATCCTGGATCCCGGGAGAGCAGATATCTTTTAACTGGAATCAGATAATAAGAAAACAGAAGGACTGAAAATAGGACAGAAGCTGGTACACCTTTTGCTTGCCAGGAAACATTGAACCAATTATCAGAAAGTACTACCAAGTGCTGAACATGTATCATCTTCATATTTCACAGCAGTATTTTAAAATAAAGAAAACTATTCTTAAGAAAAAAATCTGTTGTCTAACACAAGAATATTTAAAATATTTTAGCCAAAATATTTCAATATATGCACAAAACACACATGTAGCAACTACATTCCAACTTTCAGTCCTCAAAAAATGCTTTAATTGTCTGGCAGCAGACCCTGCTCTTGACAGGCTTGAGAACAGCATGCTTTAAAAGATGAATATTTTGGCAAAACATTCCCTCTTCCTCCTTGGCTATGCAAATATCCATTGCAATCTGTCCAAGAGACCAGTTCCAGAAAGGATGTTTTAATTAGGATGCATCATTGACCTCCTCTATGAGACTTTCATGATGAATTCATCTTGCTGACATTATCTCTGCCAACCCCAGTAACCACCCAAAACCTGTGCTCCTAGCTTATGTCTCTGTGTGAAATGCTTTGCTCTACCTTCTGTGGAAGTTCCTCTACAACCCTCCCACTGCTGAGATGGTTTTAGCAACTACTCCCTGTCCTAATGTCTATTCTGGTTCTTCCCTTATCTTTCTCACTGCAATAAAAATCTATCTGGCATAATGTAATACTGCATGACACAGTACAACTGTAATCTCCCATGAGGAAGGTTATCCCTTACTCCTCCTTGGAGGATATTGTGTGTGTTTCCCTAAATTTTTCTAAGAATTTACTTCCATCACCTATTACCTCACCTTGAGGATGGACGTTATTTGATAATTTTTGTTTCCTAATAATATTCATAGTCTCTCTTTCTTCTCTCCCACCTCCTGCTCACATGACCCCACACTAGATTTGTGTCTTTTTCTTAAGAACTTTTCTAACATCTGTAATATGAGCACAATTCTTGTATCCTTCATTTATTTCCTGTGAGTTTAGAAACACAACCTGCTAATTCTTCATGGTTTAAATTTGTAACCTTTTGGACTCATAGGGTAGAGCTCATAAATCCTCCTAATGTTAACCTTGTAACTTCATTGACACTACATTTTCTTTTTTTGTCTTTTGAAGAGATTTTTTTAAAATTAGAAACAAACTTGCTTCACATGTCAATCCCAGCTCCCTCTCCCTCCCCTCCCCTCCTCCTTAGCCCCTCACCCAATCCCCACTCTGTTCAGATTTTCAACAAAATCAGATGAAAGATGAAAAATTAGAAAAGAATTTCTGGAAAGATCTAATGTTAAACATACTAACATGTCTTCTTATTCCTTAAATTGTAATTTATCTACATTCTGCCAATCATTGTTTAGTTCTTTTCATCATGCTTTGGGAGGGTTGTTTTAACCCCAAGGCAGGAATCTTTTTCATTGTATCAGAGGCCAAAGCCAGTCAATAGAGATCTTTTAGATCTTCTATGAAAGTACTGTAGTTATGTTATCAACTAAGAAATTGTTTTGAAGTAAGTCAATATTTTCATATGTTTGGTCTGGCTCTCTTCATGTGATATTTCAATAAAGACAAGCTCTACACCATCTGGTCCACTCTCTAACATACCATCATGGGTCTTGTCATCTAGATTGTGTCTTACCCTCTTTTGTCTTCATGCTTATTGAACTCAAATGTAGTCCATGGGATGATCAATGCTAAAATGAAGACACAAAAATCTGAAATGCTCTAAATCCAAAATATTCTGATTGATTTCTTTAAAGACATGCACCCATGCAATACAGCCATCTAGGCTGTTACTGTGCAGCACAGGCTCGTCTTGGATTTAGAGAAATCCCCTTGACTCTGCATTTAAATGTTGGAGATTATAAATGTGTGCTGTGACAACTGACTTCAAAATATTTTTATGTAGAATGCAGCAAGTCCATACATGATAGGTCAT